CTAGTGGAGACTCGAAATGCTTTTAGCCCCTGGTCCGCCTTGGCCCCCAGCCCGCAGCCTTGAGCGGCCGAGGAGATTTTCTGCCTTGCGTGGTAGAGACAGCTCCTGCCGTTGCTGGAGTCCCTGTTGACTGGGGGCTGACCGTGTGCCAGACACGCGGTGCTGCTTCGTGGCCGCCTTGCTTCCTAAGTAGTAGGATGTCCATTTCGATAAACAGGGACACTGGGCTGTTGGGGGACTTACCCAACCAAGGTTACTTAGCTTGGGATGTTGGGTACTGGGTTTCAGATCAGGCCTGTGGGCCCCGGCATTTCTGCTCCTGCTGCCACGCTGTGCTTCTCCGCCTCTGCCTCTCACAGCAGAGGGAAAGGCCCCTACCGCTCCCTGTGAGGAGCAGGCCTCAGCAAGGAGGGATCTAATCTGTTCGAAGCCCAGCTTGGGCTTCAAAGTTCACGACGTCGGGTTCCTTCAGAATGCATCTGTTTGCTTTCAATTCCTGACTAGCCGTACTGTTTCCCTCCACACTGCTGAGCAGAGTGGGCTCGCAGGGAGATCCACCACATTCGTCCCCTGGCTTTGTGTCTCCTCTGTGCAGTGCCATGTCCCGGCCCGCAGACCCTGGTTAGAAAAGCGTGGGGTGATTCCGTGGCGGACAGAACACAGATGCCCCGTAGCTAGTGGTGGGCTGCACCCCCAGAGTCCACCACGGGGTCGGGGTGGGCCAAGCAGAATTTTGACCTTTGGGTCAGACCCTGGGCCTCTTCCCTGATGCTCCCGCCCCTTCCCACTAGGACATTCACCACGGCAACGGCACCCAGCAAGCATTCTACAACGACCCCTCCGTGCTCTACATCTCCCTGCATCGCTATGACAATGGAAACTTCTTTCCGGGCTCTGGGGCTCCTGAAGAGGTACAGCTCCTGGGCTCAAACGTGGGGCCCTCGGGGAGATAGCAGAATGGGACCTGGCAGGGAGCCATGGAGGCCCGTGGTGGTGCTGGTACCTGGGGAGTCTGGGCTCCTAGTGGGAGGACCACGCCAGCCAACTGCCCCTCCATGCAGAACAGAGGTCAGTGGAGTGAGGGCTGGAGGCAGGGCTGAGGGCGGGGCAACGTCTGGGATCCCCAGGCAGTGAGAGTAACCCCTCCCCCACCATGCTGCCAGGTTGGCGGAGGGCCGGGCGTGGGGTACAATGTGAACGTGGCATGGACGGGAGGTGTGGATCCCCCCATCGGAGACGTGGAGTACCTAACGGCCTTCAGGTGGGGACTGAGAAGAGCCGAGGGAGGGGTGGGAACCCCCGGGCCCTGCCATGGGCAGGGCAGAAGGCACTCAGTTCCGCATGGGTGGAGGGGGTCGGCTCTGTGGGGGGCAGAGCCTGGGGAGGCCTGGCCGAGCCACCTGCCAGGGTCAGCTTGGGCCCTCCCTTTGCAGGACAGTGGTGATGCCCATTGCCCACGAGTTCTCACCTGACGTGGTCCTGGTCTCCGCCGGGTTTGATGCTGTCGAGGGACACCTGTCTCCGCTGGGTGGCTACTCGGTCACCGCCAGATGTGAGCCTGTGGGGGGATCGAGGGAGGCTATGGAGCAGTGAAGGTGGGGTCGAGTGGGAGGTTGGGAGGAGGGTTGAAGGCAGGTCTAAGATTTGGAATCATCCTGGCAGCGTCCTGCCACTCTCCTTCTGCCAACCCTGGCCTTGAGGGGCAAGCAGGTGGGGGGGGAGCATCTCCTCCAGGAGTTGTAGGGATGGAGCTCGCTGATCCCTCATGTTTCAGTGGTGGTTTTTCATGGTGCTCCTTGGGAGACGTGTAATTGGATCCTTTTAGCCTCTTACGTTTTGTCTTTTATGGAGCATTTAGTCCATTGACACTGAATTTTATTATGGATATCTATTTGGGTTTAAATCCACCATCTTCTTTTGTGCTGTTTGTCCCATCTCTTGTTTCTTTTTCTCTCCTTTCTGATTTTTTCTTGAGTTGAGTTTTTTCTTTAACCGTTTCCTCTTCTTCCCTTCACCCGTCCCTAAAGGTTTTGGCCACTTGACCAGGCAGCTGATGACGCTGGCAGGGGGCCGGGTGGTGCTGGCCCTCGAGGGAGGCCACGACTTGACCGCCATCTGTGATGCCTCTGAGGCCTGTGTCTCCGCTCTGCTCAGCGTGGAGGTGAGGGGTGCACAGCGGGACTGGGGGAGGTGGGCCAGTAGGCCAGGGGGAAGGGGCCAGCGAGGGAGGGTCCCTTTCCTGGGTCAGGCAGCACCGAGGGCCCTTGGGGAGGTTTTCCTGATTCCTGAGGACAGGTGGTGGCCAGGGAAGGCTTTCTAAATAGAGGTTTCCCCAGAAAGGCTATGCTTGCCCCTGTCATGGGGCTGAACGGCGGGATGGTTAGAGGGGCAGCCACTCTAAGCCTTCTCTTCTTTCCCCTGCCAGCTGCAGCCCTTGGACGAGGCAGTCTTGCAACAAAAGCCCAACGTCAACGCAGTGGCCACGCTAGAGAAAGTCATCGAGATCCAGAGTGCGTGGGCACAGGCAGAGGGACTCAGGGCCCAGCTTGCCAAGGGGGCGGAGCTTGCGTGACGCCAGGGCTAGGGCTGGGGGTGTCCGTACGTTTGGGGGTTTCTGGCTCTCCCTGACCCCCGGCCCATCCCTCATCCACAGGCAAACACTGGAGCTGTGTGCAGAGGTTCGCTGCTGGTCTAGGCCGTTCCCTGCGGGAGGCCCAGGCCGGTGAGACAGAGGAGGCTGAGACTGTGAGCGCCATGGCTTTGCTGTCAGTGGGGGCCGAGCAGGCCCAGGCTGCTGCAGGCCGGGAGCACAGCCCCAGGTGAGGTGCCCCCCACCTCCCTGCCCTCGCCCAGACTGCTGCCCCCCATCCCACAGTGCTTCAGTGCCCTTCCCTGTGCTTGTGCCCACAGGCCGGCAGAGGAGCCCATGGAGCAGGAACCTGCCCTGTGACGCCCTGGCCCCCACCCCTCTGGGCTTCATCATTGTGATTTTGTTTATTTTTTCTATTAAAAAACAAAAAGTCACACATTCAACAACGTCTGCCGTGTGGGTCTCTCAGCCTCGCCCCTCCTGCTCCTCTAAGCTGCCTCAGGCCCCCCCTTCCCCCCACCCCCCGTGGCCCATGTCTCAGCTCTAGAAGTTTGCGCCCTCTGTAGGGCCAGGGGTACCCTTTCCAGCCCTTCCCTCACGTTGTATCCCACACCCACTTCCTGCATTCTGTCTTTGTCCCCCTTGGAGCTTGGGCCAGCTCAAGGTGGGCCTGGGGCCCAGATAGCACCTTCCGGTCCTGGGGTCCCCCTGAGTGAGGAGGGAACAGTAAGTTTGGTGCCTTGGCTTCAGCTGACTTAGGAGGAAATGCCTTAATTTCACCCTCCTCCCCTCTCCAGCCCCAGGGGAGGGTCCGGAGGGTCCCTCTACAGTCTTAAGGTGTAGAGTGGAGGGGAGGTGGGCTCCCGCCCTGCGATTCTCACTCTTTTCCCCCAGTGTCCTCACCATCTCCACACAGACCCCTCTCTCCTCCTCCTTTCTCCTGGCCTCAGCAGCGAAGGGAAGCTTTGTGCCGTCGGATGTGGGCCTGAGGTCTGTGGGCAGGGCTGTCTTGCCTTACCCTCCTCAGGGCCTATTTCCCCTTCTCAGGGGCTGGAGAGGGTGAAAGCGTGGGGGGAGGTTTGGAGCTGCACTCCTGGGTTCTGAGGGGCCAAGGGGAGGCGCAGAACCGGGCCTGCTCTCCATCTTATTCTGTCGGCCTCCCTGCCCCTCTGCTGGCACAGTCTGGGGAGCGGGGAGAAGATGGTCCCTGCAGGGGGGCTCCAGGCTGGTGAGAGCCCCCCTGCTGTTCAGGACCAGATTTCCCCAGCCGTCCAGCACACTGCAAGCAGAAGGGTCAGTGGCCCACCTCTCTCCTGGGGCCTTTGGCTTTGAAGCCTGGGGATGGTGAGTGGGAGTTCTAGAAGGGGCAGGGCCAGAACCCAGGAGTCTGCCCTAAGCTGTAGCTTGCCTTCCTCCTGGGCTTCCTTTGTGGGCCACCAGCCCAAGGGAACTAAGACCAGGATGGGGCTGGGCACTGCCCTTTCTCTTTCCCAGAAGCCCTGCTAGCCTTCTTGTTTCCAGGGCTAGGAGCCCACAAGGCTTCTGGCGAATGCTGTCCAGCCTGTGGGAAACCAAAGATGGGAAGCAGCTCCTAGGGGGCTGAGTCTTCCTCCCTCCTTCTCCCCAACACCGCATATACTTTCTTTCCTCCCGTCCCCAGGGCTCCACCAATCTGTTTACATATTTATTATCCTAATGGGGGCCTGAGCAGGGTTGAGGGAGCCAGGGGAGGGGCAGGAGTCCCACCACCATTGGTTCATTGTGCGCTTGTGTCTTGTGTGTTGTTAGTGTGTTCTAGATCCTCCTGGGGGATGGGGCTGGGGCTGGGCCCAGGGTACCAGGCCTCCCCATGCCGAGCCCCAGCTCCGGGCCGCTTACCCTCCCTCTCCCCATGGCTGGTCTGGTTCTCATGTAAACCCACTCCTTGCTTTGTCTCCTTGGACATGGATTTCGGTTAAGTATTGTGTAACCTGTTACACTGTGTGTCCTTGTGTAAATAAACTTGTTTCTGGCAGTGCCTTCTGGGGCCAATGTCTCTGTTCTCTGGGCTCTCAAATGGAGTTGAGGGTCTCATTCCCCCTCCTGGCCAAAAAAAAACTACTTTTCTCCAGCCCCTGGACTAGCCAATTTAGGAAACAAGAGGCTGGGGTGGGAGGGAGTGGGATCTCTGTCCTGTGGGTTAAGAACAAGGTTTCACTGAACGTAGCCACAGCATCTCCTGGAACCTCTGTGTGGCCTACGTGGTGATGGTGGGGAGAAGGTCCGGGCTGAAGGTCTCCCTGTTCCTTTTGACTCTCAGTCTCTGGGGGCACAGGGTTGAAGCGGGTGCAGAACAGGTGGCCTGGCAAGGGTTCCACCTGCAGCCACACGGGCAAGTCCAGTGGAGATGTGCACAGAGTCAAGAGAGGAGTCCAGAGGTGTGGAAGGGCTTTATTGGGGCTGCTCTGAGCCCCTCACAGTGTTATAGGAACCCACTGGTCTCGCTGTTGCCTTTGCCCTTTGGGGACATGGGAGGGAAGGCAGGAGGAAGACTAGCCTTCCTGGGAGAGAGAAGGCCCTTCTTTGGGGCTGAGACCAGGTGGTGGGAGAAGTAGAAAATTCACCATGAGCAGGGCCTGTTGGGGGCTGGAAGGGGACGGGGCTGCCTCCCCAGAGTGTGGAGGTCACGGAGTGTGTGGGCTTTGGGAGAGGGAAAGTGGCAGTAGGAGGCACCTAGAGTCAGGAAGAGCGGATGGGTGGTGCTTCCTGGGCACTGAACGTGTGCACCAGCCAGGGCACGAGGGCCAGGACCAGGCATGGCCAGAGGGTGTGCTTGAGGAAATTGAAGATGTAGAAAAGGCTGATCTGAGGCGGGTAGCCCAGCCAGTCCAGGGGGCCCAGCAGCCCCATGGCCAACACAAGGCAGGCTAGCTTCTGGCCATGTCCCAGGTATGCCCGCCGCACCTGGGCATAGCAGGGGGAGTGAAGGGCGATGCCCAGACCCAGGGCGGCCCCTGAGTCGCGGCTCAGAGAGGCAAAGGGCCGGCTGTCCAAGTGCACCCACTCAGGCCGTTCACACCACTTAGAGGCTAGGTTGATGGACCTGTGGGGAGCGAGAGTCTTTGCCAGGAGAGAGGTTCCCCTGGGTCCTAGAGGGCTGATGGCTCTCCACCCCTTTGGGGCCTACCGCCATGTTCTGCCGTGACCCCAGGAGACTCAATGTTTGTGAACAGCTAATGTGTCCCGTTTTAGCTACAACCAACCAGAGACCCACCGGGCCAGGTATAGGTGAGACCCCAACTTGCCCAAGCTTCAAAGCAGGACTTACCAAGAAAGATCCAGGCCCAGTGTAAAGAGGGTCCAATAGATGAGGCTGGCACCCAGCAAGAGGGCCAGTGAGGTCAACCCGTAGAAGCTTAGCTCCCGCTCCGTGGGCACCCGGGGGGTCATCAGCCAGCCCAGGACAGCACCTAGGGAAGTGGGATGACAGCAGCTTCAAGGAGTTTGGGGATATGACCCCCACCCCGAGCCGCAGGGTAGTTTGGCAGGAGAAGGGGGCCCTTGGGGTTGGCTGTACAATGGGAAGATCATACGCTGGTCCTCCCACTGCCAACGGCACCCTCTGGGTCCACCCTGTTGCCCCAGTTGCTCACCAGTTATTAGGCCAGCCAACACCTGGTGAGGGAAATGTGCTAAGAGGAAGACCCGGGACAAGCCGACCGCCAGCAGGAAGGTGCAATAAGCCAAGCTAGGTATCACCCTCACCCAGCGGCTAAAAAGAAGAGAGGCAAATGGTTCAGGAGGTGTCCACACACAGCTGGGCTTCCCTCAGCACCCAGGCACCTCACAGTTTGACCAGATGCCCTGGCGTCTGCAGAACTCCAGCTCCCAGGCTGCCCTGCTGCTGGGTCTTTTGGGTCCAGGGTACCATCACCTCTGCCCCCGTTGGTGGGCAATGCCAAGGTGTACCTGTGGGTCCGAGTGGCCACTTGGGAAGAGATGGCCGTCATTATGGGCCAAAGGGCTGCTCCTGTGATCATACAGTGTCCGGAAGGGCTGCCTGCCAGGGGATTCAGAAGCTTGTGGTGAGAGGATGCTGGTGGAACCCAGGTGCCCCTGGTGATCGCTCAACACGGCTGCCTCCCCGTGGCCGAGGGGGGAGCCTTCCTCCAGCACTGACCCTTAGCTCCCTCTGCCCTGAAGCGGCATGGGTGCTCTCCTCCTATAATTCAACATGGTCTTCCCTGGGTTTCTTTGTTCTCTGGCCCAGTAACTGAGAGGCTGGGCCTCTGATTAGGTTGCCCTAGCTGAAAAGTACGACCAAACACTCACTGAACCCTAACCACATTGGGAGAGGGAAGTTTGAGGCTTCTCACCTGGACCAGTTTCACAAGAAGGGGGGAACTGGTGAACCTGGGCTGGAGCCTGGCTGTAGTACCCAGACTCATGGACCCACCAAAAGGGCCTGTCTCCAAACAGAAACCTAGAAGAGAACAGATGCGAGATGCCATGACACGCACACACAGCCAGGGGAACGGGGGCTGAGGCAGAAGGACACCTGGAGTACTCTGGAGGGCTTACAGGCTGGAGTCAGAAAGGGTGTCCAATTCTGTGCCATTGCCTTGCCAGGGTTTTTTACCTTGGAACAGGAGAAAGCATGCTATTTTTTTTTTAAAGTGATAAGGAGGCAAGAGATTGTGGTGTGTGCGTGTGTGTGCTCTGAGATGCTCAGAAGTCCCATCCTTAGCCCTCCCGCTACAGGGCCAGCTCTGCTCTTGCCATCTATAGAGAGCCCAGGACCTGCCCCTCGCCCTCCCTCCCCAGACCCTCACTGACCCTCCTGCTTCTCCTCTCTCCATTTCCCAAATTCCAGCCTGAGTTACTTAGGTAAGCCTCTGGTCTTTGAAAATGGGAGTGGGGAATGGACAAGGAGGCTGAGAGAGAATAAGGAAGACAAAAAAATTCAAAATCCACTGGCTTAGCCAGGTGCTTCACTGGACCCTGGGAAACACACTGCAGAGGCTGCTGTGGCCAGAAAGAGAAAAGGTGGGAGAGCAGAAGAGATGCTGGCAGGAAGCCAAATGCTGGGGAGGGAGGTGCGGAAGGGACTTGCCTCTCCCTGCCAAAAAGTGAGCCTGGATCATGCACCAGATGCTCAACACATACTTAGGAAATGAACAGGGGCTCTGCCATGTGGGGGGCATTAAGGGTGTCTACCCAAGGGGGCGGTCTTAGGGGAACAGGACTAGAGAGGAAGGCTTATACAGACTCTGAGGAAGAAGAGCACAAAGCAAAGAGCAATTCAGTAGGAAGGAAATGATCAGACAATTGCTTTCCGTTTACAGCAGGGATGAAGCCCTGGCTGAGAAGAGTGGAAGGGAAGGTATTTTGTTTTTCAGCAAGTCATTCCAGCCCATCCATTCAAGTGTCTCCTATGAACCTCCCTTCCCTCCCCCAGGCTGGCAATCTGGCAACAGAGACAGTGGTGAGGGGTGAGGGGAGGTGCAGCTGCATGCCCAGCGGGAAGTATAGCTCCCTTCTGCACCCAAGAGAGAACAGGTGGCACAAAGAGATACACCCCAAGGGCCCCACCCACTTGCCTGGGGTTCCTGGCTTCTAAGTCTGTGTGCAGAGCCTACTAGTGAATGAAGGGGAAAAGGGAGAAGAGAAAGTGTTCCCTGGAAGGCAATGCTTTAGCCCAGTGCTTTTTGAAATTTACTGTGCACACAAATCGCCTGGAGTCCTTGCTAAAATGCAGATTCTGATTCAGTAGCTCTGGCGTGGGGCCTGAGATTCTGCATTTCTAGCAAGTTTTCAAATGCTCCTTATGCTGCTGGCCACGGTCTGGGGGACCACACCTTAATCTGCAAGCCTTTTCTGTCCTTAGCCACTAGTGTGAAGCCTGGCACAAAGCATGCTTCTTAAAAACTATGTCAAATAAACGAATGAATAAATGAATCAAAGAGTGAGTTGAGAAGCAGGACTTTCTGCTACTTAAGTCACCACAGATGCCTGTTAAAATACAGATTCCCAGCCCCTCCCCTGGAGTTTCAAAATCTGTCTGTCTGAGGTGGAATGGGGTATTTGCATTTTAAATACGCCCCCTTAGGTGATTTCTCTGATCAGGCCCGTTAAACACTAGTTTAGTGATTAGGATGGGGACTCTGAGGTCCAAGATGCACAAAGATGCTCATAGGGGAAAAGTCAGTGGCCACGGGGTAGGGGTGGGACGTCAAGGCCATGGGTTCACTGTCGGGGTGGGGTGGGGGGAAAGCCAGGCCTTTGAGGCAGCTGACGAGAGAGATCAAGGACTGCACAGGGCTCAGGGCCTTTGGGGGTGGGGGACCAGGACGCGGGAGGGCTTCGCTGTCTCACCACTTGAAGACGAGGTTGAGCCACTCGGTGATGAGGCTGATCCAGAGCACCGCGATGCCCACCCGGCGAGAGGCGTAGTAGGCCACGGGGAAGTAGAACAGAAAGAGGCTCTTGGGGTCGCCCAGAAAGGTGACCCAGAGCCACACGTTCTCCAACCAGGGCAGCTGGTTCTGCAGCGCCTCGGCCATCGCGATGCCGGCGCCCAGCGTGGACTCCATGGCGACCACGGGGCCGGCCCGGCCAGGGTTTGAGCTAAGGCGGAAGCCGAGGAGTCCAGGCGACCAGGAAGCAGCTCCTCACGGCCCTCCAAAGCCCACCCTTCGGATCCGAGGCCCGCCCCCTGGCGTTGGCCGGGAAAGCCCCGCCTCCTGCCCCGCCCCCTGCAGCCTCAGGCTCGCGCGAGCCAGGCCTCCTGCCGGTACCGTTTCCTCCTCCTGCGCTCTTCCCGGGCCTCCCTCTCTACTGGGCAGCGCAGGGGACAAATCTTTTCGAAGGCGTTTCCGCAGAGCCCCACGTGGCTGCTATTGCCGGCACGTGGGCAGAGGGCGTAGAGGCGGCTCCAGCTGCTGTTCCGGGTCATGGGACAGACTAACCTGAGGGTCGGCGGTGCGTCCAGGGTCCCTCCTTTACTTCTGTGAAGATGGATATGTAATATCCCGGGCCAGGATTCCTTCCAGACCAGACCTTTCTCCTCCAGTACAGCTACCCTCCAAAAATATTTCGAGATCTCTTGGAGAGAAGGCTAGGGACAACCCCTGCTCCGGGGAGCCGGGCATCCCTGGTTGGTGCTGAAGCGGGCCCCTACATTTGCACACACAGCTGGCTAATCGGTACACGCCTTCCTCCCCCAGCCCAAGACTCTCCTGCTTGAATTCTTCTGCTGTTGATTTGGAGGCTGACAGGTCAGCCTCTTGATTTTGAGGGGTCATGCCTAACGGCTTGAGAGTTGTTACGCATAGCACAGTCTAAATCACCCTTCCTCCCAGTTCTGTGCTCGCCTTGCTCCTCTCCTTTCGTCATCTTGTCATCTTGCCTTCCAGAACCCCGCTGGGCAGATAAACCATGAGATAGTAGCTGGGTTGGTAAAGGAAGAGGAAAGGCACACACTCACGACAAAAATTGGAATAATCCCTTGGAGGAACACACAGAAAATAGAAATCTCAGCAATTCTAGGTGAGGTCTTGCCTAGAGGCAGAGGTGAGGTGGGAGGAGACTGGTGAAGTGGTTCCTTCCTACCTCAAGCAACTTTGTTCTTGGAGAGTTTTTGAGGGGTAAAAATGAGAATGTAAATTTGGGTTCTTCTTGGAAAGAGATTAATTTCACTAATTAAAAGGGTGTGGGGAAAGGAAGCTGGATACAAATCTTATTTTGCTCCCTTGCTAAATGTTTTTCAATTGCCCCAAGGAAAAAGCCTAAATTTTCTGTCTTTGAAAGTTTGCTTGGCCTCTAGCCACAACAACCTTTACCAGCCCAGTCCCACATTCTGTTTCATGATATTTCTGAGCTACTCTATGCTCCCTGAAATCACCAAGCTCTCTCCTTTTAGGGGTCCTGACGTCTGCAGTTACCTCTGCTTAGAACGTGGCCACTCTCCCTGCTTGTCTTTCAGATCTCAGATTTTTCCACTTCTTCCAGGAAGCTTTTCCTTACAGTGCCTGGCAGTCATTTATGAGAACCTATAATCACAATGTTATATAAAAGGTGGAGTGGCAGTTATGTATGACTTGTTATGGGGTAGATGTGAAAGTTCTCTGGAAAAACCCAAGTATGAGGGAGCAGTATGTTTATTTCTATTACAATGATTGTACTAATACGGGCCCAACTTTAGGAAGTTGATGTCTCTTGCAAGGCAAGGAAACACTTTTGAAACTTGTTCAGGTTAAGTAGTGCCAGGACTGGCCCTTTGCCTCCCTCTCTTTGCCTGTTGTTACTCATACATGAGGCTCTAGAATTTCTTTAGTGGAAGGGTAGGTGGGTTAGGGATGGCAACTGGTGATGGTAGGGCTTGAAAATGCATCTGCATCGTACTTACATGTTAAGAAAACTGTTTCGTATATTACACAGTCATTAATGGGGGGCCCAAAACTCCTGCCCCAAGGCTCCCTTTGTCAATACCATTGTTCCTCATTCTGGCTCTTTGCCCGGTTTTCTAGAGGAGAGGGCAAGATGGGAGATGGGGAAGCATCTTGAGTTCCAACAGTGATGGGTGATCACGGAGGAACTACCATTTATTGAGGATCTACTACGTGCCATGCATTTGTACACATTACCTCATTATCTCCCGCTCCTCCTAACTACTCTGTGAGGTATTATCTAATTAGCATAGCAGTAAATAGCACCGCCTTTGGAAACAGGTAGAACGGATCCTTGCTAGTTGTGCGACCCCCCTGGACAAAGTTTAGTCTAAGACTTAGTTACTTCCTCTGTAAAATGAGGATATTGATTCCTACATCGAAGGGTTGCTGGATGCTCAACAGTGGTAATACAGAAGGAATAAAGAAAAGAATCAGGCTTAGTAATTTGCTCAAGGTCACATAACTCAGTGGAATTCCGATTCCATTTTAGCTAACTCTACAGCCAATGTTCTTTCCACTACCACTTTGTAGTTAGGTGTAACCGTTTTGAGCAAGTTTAGTTAAGTCTTCTGGGCCTCGGATTCCTCATTTGTAAAATATAGAGTTCATTCATCAAACTCTTGTGTCAAGGTGTGCACATAAGGGAGACTGCAGTTCCCTCCTCCCTCCCCTTTTCATTCCACGTAGGTCATTTATCTTTAACTTCTAAAACGGACCTTGCAAGCCTGTTACAAACCGGGCGCAGCCGCACAAACGTAATTATTCACATTCCTCTTTATTTCCTCTTTTCTCCTCATCCACCTAGGCTCCCGCCCCACCCAGTCCAGGCCACGCCCTAGCGTGTGACGTCAGCACGCCCCGTGCGTCGCGGCGCGGCGCTCACTGGGGGCCCGGCTTTCGCCCGCTGCTGCCGCCGCCGCCGCCGGCCGCGGCTGCTCTCCCAAGATGGCGGCTCCTCCGGGCGAGTACTTCAGCGTTGGGAGCCAGGTGTCGTGCCGGACGTGCCAGGAGCAGCGGCTGCAGGGCGAGGTGGTAGCCTTCGACTACCAGTCCAAGATGCTGGCTTTAAGTATCCTTCCCTGCGCGGAGCCCGAGGCCGGGCCGGCGTGTATGTGCGGCGGTGGGGGGGCGGGGGACGACGGCGGTGGCTGGGGCCCTCTCCGGGCCTAGGGGCGACCGGCTACCGCGGCGCCCGGAGCGCATGCGCACGGCCCTGAGCTCCCCTCCCCCTCTCGTGGGTCCCTCGGTCCGCCTTGGGGACCCTTGTCTCCCACCCCTTGTGGGAGCTGGGCCCCGATCGAGGGTGGGTGGGTGGAGGGGGGCTTGACACGCTGATTGCTTTTCGGGGGGAACGCTAGGAGAGGGGACACAGTAATCCGGAGAGGGGTGGTCGTGGGAGGGGGCTGGTGATTGGAGCCCGGATGGGAGGGGGACGGGTAAAATCATGTGGGGAAGGGGTGTGTAGAGTAAGGAACTGCTAGTGAGTGGTACAAGGGTATGGAGTTCAGGAGGGGTTGTCCACTGATGGGATTTGGTCCAAGAAAGGGCGGTGGGGTGGTGACCAAATGGGCCTCACCTGTTTGGGGGGAGAGTAACTGCAGGACAGAGTTTGTAGCAGAACTGGGGATAGGGGCTTGTTTTGCTGGTGCTTGTGTATGCGTGGTGCCGCTGGGGGCAGGGAGTGCTGAATTTTCGGCTTCTCAGTGATTTGGAAGTTGCTGTTTTGGGGATGTTTGTATTGGAAACCTGGTCTAGAGAGAGGACCACGTTTTTCAGGGGCTTATGTATGGACGTGTGGGTTACAGGTGAAAGAGTAAACTGTCTTCTCTTGTCAGCTCAGCACATGGAGTCCTGACTTCTCCATAGCAGTAGCCTTCCCTTTTGAATGTGTCAGTGTTTAACAGAATGGAAAAGGTGGTCTCTTTCTTTGGGGTGGAAGTGATTTCTCAATTACTCCAGGAAACTCAGTCGTGGAAATGGAATACTACCTGGTTGTAATAAATATGCCACCCCTTCCCCTTTTATTTGAGCCACAGGTGGGTTTATTTGGATTTTTTTTTTTTAAGTAATCTCTTATGGCACCTTTCAAAAGGAAGTTTCTTACTGAGTCTGCTGCTGCCTTTGACTGGCAAGTATTTTAATTCATTTAACTACTGGTTGTGGATTTGTAGCTTAGGAAGATGTCCTTTGAAACTAATTACAGCAAGAAGAGTTGCAGGTTTTTTTTAATTTTTGTTTTTGTTTTTTGAACACAAGACTTCATACCTGGACCAAGTAAGACCTTTTACATTAGTGGTTTAGTTGGAAGGGTTTCGGAATGAAGAATTACTCTACCTTTATTTGACATACAGTATGCTTTTGAGAAATGGTTGGAGAATGAGTGAATGAGTGAGTGGGTGAATGAATGAATTAATGAATGAATGGGTTAGCTAGCTGGGTCACCTTGAGTGAGCTTCCTTTCCAGTGTTGTAGTTTTCCTGTGCAAAATGGGAAATCTCAAATCTGAAAAAGAGAAAAGAGCACTGTTTAGATATAGGGAGTATTATACCAAGAACAGAAAGTACTTGCTCTTCAGTGTGGTTCATTAGGTTCAAGACAAACAGTATACATAACGGCATTAAAACTGTATTAAGCCTCTTCATAAAACCGGTAAAGAGAAGGTGACAGAAACACTGTTGAGGCTTCCAATTTTGGATCGTGTTTGGCTTTGAAAAGCTTGAGATCTTTTGGTTCTGGGGTTGTGCAGCAGGAAGGTGGCAGGCAGAGGTTTCCTGAGGAGAGGCGTGATCCTTGCGAGGCTCCCTCTCTTGCTGTGGCACACCTCTTACACGAGCCTTGGGTGAATTGTGTTTTCCAGGCCCCTTTGGGATGTGTCAGTTCTCTGCTTGCCCCTATTTTCCTTAACTTTATTTTTTCACCAGAATGTCCCTCTTCCAGTGGAAAGCCCAACCACGCAGACATCTTGCTCATAAACTTACAGTATGTTTCAGAAGTGGAAATAATTAATGACCGAACAGAAACCCCTCCTCCCCTAGCTTCACTCAATGTTAGTAAGGTAAGGACTTGAGGGCAGTTCTGGTTCTCCAAAATGATGGGAAATTTGAGTCTCATTGACTCTTGGTGGTACATACATTGTCCATTGTTTGTTTTTCATTTTTTCCAGTGATTTACAATTGCTTGTTTTGATATATTTTTTAAAAAAATATATCAGTTTAACTTTTCTCTTTATTCCTGGGTATCTTCAGAAGATTTTAAGAAATGTCTTAATGCCCAAATAGAGAAATAGAGTTGAGAGCTGGCTTTTGTCCTTTGTGAAAGAGGGCTTCCCCGCCCCCCGCCCCCACAACCTGCAGTCCATGTGTGAACTTCCAGTGTTGGGAGGGTTGGGTAGGGGCGTTGCTTCTGAACCTCCTGAAATTGTGTATGTGTGCACATGAGAATATATGTTTCCTGGGTGAAGATTTGGAATATGTTTTTAGATTCTCAGAGGGATTAATGACCTACAAAAATTTGAAAACCACTGCCTTAGAGCTTTGTTTTTGTCTTTATGTTTGAATTTCGAGGTCTAACAAAATTAGAGTTTTAGGATATTTTAATCTTGGATGTACAAATTGGTCTCTGGGAACCCTCAAATAACTTTCCTGATTCTTTTGTTCTGTTAGCCAGAGTTCATGTTGATCAATAATAGTAATACCCCAAGCCCTGTTGTAGCCTTTGCTGTCCCCTGCACTGGGAACACCCTTTCAGAATGACTGGAGTCGTGTCCATCAGGACTCAGTTTAATGGCACCTCTTTCAAGAAGTCTTCTCTGATCATTCGGGCTAAAGTGATTTGCCCCCATTCTCGCTTACAGTACCTTAGCCTTCAGAGATAAGGTGACATATCATTTACAGTCCAACCTGGGACATTTTCGAGAGTAAAGGGGTGGGTGGTGCTTTTGTTTTACACCAAGTAT